TGTGTAGAGACTTGTCAATAAAAATCCCTTCTCTAAATACTAGTGATGACTGGCAAAGCTTTATTAGCTACAGCTGTGGATAAAAAGAAATGTTAATCTCAAAAGCATCTATTGTCAGTGATTAGGAAAAGGCTTTAGAAATCTCTGGAAAATGGAAAATCATTTGTAAGATTCCCACTGTAAACCCAAGTATTTAAAATTATTTTAGGAAAAGGAAAACGTTTTTCTTCTTTCTAAAAAACTAATTTAGCCAATAGATTTCCTGTAACATGTCTTTTAATGGATTTATTATGAACAACCATGGCAACAAGAAAACAGAAAGGTACGATATGAGCATGAAGAACGCTGATCCATTCAGAGGCCAAACTTTTGCATAGTCAAGAATATTAAAAAATATTAACATGCTGGAAAGGTGAGCTGAGAGGTGAAATAAGCAGAAGAAAACGTAAGAAAAGAAGATTATGCAGAGTTTTTCATCATTAATTGATCTATTGCAGTGTTTCAAGTAAAATATAAAAAAGGGATCTCTAAAGATTAATAGAAATGGAGCAGCACTGGAAGTCGAATTTCTGACTGGAAAGATTTCAGAAATCACTTGGGGCTGATAAGGTTATATTGTTCCAGGTCTGGAATCGTTTTCTCTCACTAATGAGATGAGGCTACTCAGAGTCCATCCTTAGGAACAGAGGCTACTCTCCCCTGCAAGCTTGTACGTTGTAATGACAGTCATTCCCATATGATATTGCAAAGGGCAGCCAAATCAGTTCTCAGCAGACCGCAAGTGTGCTGAGTTACTGCCCTTGCTTACTGATACATAGTGGCACAGGTAGTGGGATCTAGAGCAATATATTTTTTTCTGCTTTGCCCATCTTGTAAAACTGAGAGAGGAATGATGTTGTTTAAAGAGGTTCTGCTATGCCATGGACTCAGCAGGTAATTTCAACAGAATCCTTCTCAGGTTTGTACTGAACAAGTTTTGGTCCTTCTAATTGATAGTTTAATGAAAGGAAACCTAAACATAGCAAGTACTTAATGCTATCTTTCTGAATTTCTCCAGAAAAAAGCAATGGCGTAGGATTAGACTTTGTGTTGTTTGCCCTTGATACAAAATTTTTAAATCATATTTGCTGAGTAGTGAGTGCTCATCCAAGAATGCTGTAAAACTGATTAAATGATCAAATATTTGGCATTTCCTCAGCTATGTATGTGTGAAAAACAGACACTTAAATCTCACAGGAAATACTAAATATTATGGAGACAACACTGTGAGTGGTTCTCATTGTTGTTAAAGGGCTGATGCTGATTTCTTTCACAATGGCTACCCCAATTATCTGAGGACTTTAGAATTCTTTCAGAAGTTTTGATTACAGCCAATGGCATCCTAAAGTAGGCCAGGGATAAAAGAGTATCTCACAGTTCGTGAATAATTGAGTAGGCTTCTGTATAACAATGAGGTGCCTTATGAAAGGCAAATGTTTGTGTGCTGTGTGCTCACATCTGCACCTATTTATTCATATTTATAGGTAAATTCATATGCTAATGCTTTTTCAAACACTGAGATACAAACCGTTGGTGTAACAAGGTAGAATGCTGCTGAAATGCAGTGGAACTGTGTATGTTTATACCAGCTTTAAACATAAGTTAAAAAAAAAAAAATCCAAATGCAAGGATGTACCTTGCTGTATGTACATACCATATCAAGATTCCTCTTCAAGCCACTCCATTCTTCAGATCTCTCCTCTCCCTAAAGGTCTGGAAAAAACAGATGCCAATAAATTGCAGCAATAACAGTCTAAAGGTAAAACTTACAGTTCCCTCCTCTTGCTATTCGCTGTTCCTTAAAAGCAAGGGCTGTTCATTCCTGCAGTCTATGTACTGAAGCCTTTTAATTTCTCCCAATGCTGAAATGTGGGAAAAGGCCTAATAAGGAGCATCGTTAAAGATAACTAGCATTTAGCTCTCTCAGTATCAATGGATACTTTGAAGTGCTCACTAATAAGGGGGTCAAAGCCTCCGTCTTGAATTTTGTCAGTTTAGCTGCAAACCCTCAAACTCACTTCCACGCTGTCCCAGATTGATATGCAGTGAAAAAAAGACTGAAGTTGCCATTTGAGAGACCCTGCTCACTTGTCACTGAAGGAGTTGCTTTGGAGTACGCATTAGATGACCTTCTATCTGGAAAATGTTCTCATCCTTGCAGAAATCTGCCTTGTTGACTTCGCATGTGTAGTTTTCCATTTATTAGGGATACTTCTGATGTCCTGGATGGAACGGATACTTTGCATTATAATGAAATAGGACTGTGCCATATATATTTATAAAAAAAAAAAAAAAAAAAAAAAAAAAAAAAAGAAAAAAATACCAAAAAACCGCCCCAACCTTCAAAAACTTCTCACTCAATTAACACAAAACTTCTGTTACCTTATCACCAGCTGTCCAAAATTCAGGTCATCTGTAAAATGTAGATTCCATGACTGTGCTAAAACTCACCGTCACTGATGATGGGGCCTGTAGGTTGTTCTGTTTTTCTAAAAAGAAGTCTTTGAGGACTGTAAACCATTAAGGACAGATAACAAAAATAAGGAAATCAATAAAAGATTTGAAATGAAGGCAATGGTTTTTACCTTGATAAAGAACTTCTTAGGAAAAGACTTTCCTCAGAGGAAGAGAGATTAGCTGAAAACACACATAGACTAAAATAAAAGCCAGGTCCCAGAAGAGCCAGGAGTACTATTAAAAGCGACACTTATTAAATGAATAAATTTGTCCCCTTTGGACAGCTGGTAGTATTGCTTTTAGTAAGAACAAAACAGTATGAATATCCTCTACCTGTGTGTGGAGCTTTTCACACCATAAAGTTGTGAAGAGTTAATATGGGTTAATCAAGAGATAACTGTGGGAGTAGTGCTGTAGCTTTGGTAAAGTAAGTTGCAACACTGCCAAGATGTTATTTGAAGAAAGTATTATATAATAAAGATGGTTTATGATGTCTCACAGTCTAATGCCATTTTTTTCAGGAAATATGATATTGTCTTTGCTTTCCCTCAGGTTAGGTGAAGTAATTTCTGAGATAGGAAGTACAGTTGTACAGTTGCCACTTTACAACCTTGGTAGAAAAAGCCTAAAACTTGTATGCGTTGGAAGAAGTATACTTGCAGAGATTTCATTAAATGCTATGTTTTCTTCCAGAAGTCTTCATAATTAAACATACAGATACTGTTGTCCACTAGTAGGTAGAAAACACTTATTCTGACTGATAACATTAATCTGAGATAATGGCAACAGGATAGTGTCAGTTTTATTACATTAGAATGTGATTAATTAAGCTTAATTATTTTAATGACACTATATTTGCTGCTTATACTTAGTTTAGACCAGCATCACACTGAGGGGAAAACTTCTTTTAGCTCTCTCTTCTCATATTTCCTTGATTTTTTTAATTTTTTTTTTTTTTTTTGTAATGGGAGATGTGTTTGATCCAAATTAAATACTATTGTACTTCTTGTGTTGTGTCATTAAATTTTGTAGAATTTCTGAAGAAATAAGGCTGTTTTCCACATATGGCCAGTGGAACCATTAACTAGTACTGGGGTTTTTTTGGTTTTCAGTATATCCTTGAAATAATAACATAAAAGTCTGTATGGTATTGTTTATAGAGCTGTGCAAGTACTGAAGAAGAGAATGAAGTAAACTATTTTCATAGATTATAAAACTAGATTAATACCTAATCCCTTACTTGCATAATACAGTCTAGAGGATTATCCTTAATCAGCTTCTCTTTGAACTGCAGATGTATTCTTATTTGATAATTCATTCCTGATTTTAAACTTCTGATTATGGCAATACCATCAGAATGCTTGGTAAATCATCTAATAAAGTACGCTCGTTGCTTAAAAATGCATTTTAAGCAAAATCTAGTGTGTTTCTCATTAAAATGAGAGGATAATACTGTTTTGTGCTTTCTGGAGGATTTTATTTTTCACCACTAGTTTTCAAACTTTAATAATCTGCATAGAATCATAGAATTGTTTAGGTTGGAAAAGACCTTTAAAATCATCGAGTCCAACCATCAACCATGCCCACTAAACCGCTAAACCACATTCTGAAGTGCCTTGTCTACACACTTTTTGAACACCTCCAGGGATGGTGACTCAACCACTTCCCTGGGCAGCCTGTTCCAATACCTGACAATCCTTTCAGTAAAGAAATTTTTCCCAATATCCAATCTAAACCTCCCCCACTGCAACTCGAGGCCATTTCCTATATCTCTGACAGAAGAGACCAGCACCCACCTCACTACAACCTCCTTTCAGGCAGTTGTAGAGAGCGATAAGGTCTCCCCTCAGCCTCCTTTTCTCCAGGATAAACAACCCCAGTTCCCTCAGCCGCTCCTCATAAGACTTGTGCTCCAGGCCCCTCACCAACTTGGTTGCCCTTATTTTTTCCGTAGAGAGTTTGTCATTGAACTAAGTGAGAGAACTAGATGTTGTTGTCCAGTAATTGTCACACTGGTGCTTAGTTCAACCTTGTGTTTTCTTTTCTCTGCATACAAGCTTATACTAACTGCCAGATACGGTGTTGTGTTAAAAGCTGCAATGAATGTTTCTCAATGGTATCAATACCCTCATAGAAATAGAGTGTAAATGTGAAAGCTAGTAATGCGTGGAGTGATTTCTGAAAGTACTTTCTCTAATGACAGCCTTATAATGCTTTTCATTTTCAAAGTCCATGGATTTACTTGCATCTCAGGAATTTTCAAATTTGGCACGCGTGAAAGAAATTGAAGCAAAAAAGTGTACAAAGGACTGACAATATGTATAAATTGACAAATTGGTATTACTTTTGTAGAAATAATGGATGTTGTCAGAATTTTCCAGACTTTCAAAATAAAATATTATCATTTTAAAATTTCTTCCTAAGTCAGTTATGTAACTGAATACATTTGTGATACTGCCCACCTTTAAAGAAAAGCTAATGTAATCCATTGATTTTGTTTGCAGATTTTCAGGCGTTGTTGGTTGGTTTTCAAGAAGGCTTCCAGTAAAGGACCCAGAAGGCTAGAAAAATTTCCAGATGAGAAAGCAGCATATTTCAGGAACTTTCACAAGGTAAGTCATGCCTTTCTCATGAACTGAAGCATTGCATGTTTACCATTCTTCATTGGGAAGAGTGTGTTCTTGGTTTGTCTAGTTTGCAAACAAGACAGTGAGAATCGGGTTGAAAACCTAATCCTGACATTAAAAGCACAGTAAAACGTCTGTAAATCTCAGGGATGCAGGTGAGATACCACACTGTTTTTTCCAGATGAGCACAAAACCCCCAATGTATGTGAAGTGACAGACTGAAGTTTTTTCTTTAAACATTAGTATTTTGGAAATGCGTAAAATTGTCTGCTTAATGAAATGTTTAGCCATTAGTTATTAACTAAGTATGGAACAAGTTCTGAAAATGCTAAATGCCTTGATTGTAATGGTGACACTGGTTGAACATGTAATATTTTTCCCAGAACTCTTCAAGATTTATAAGCTCTGCCACCAGCAGGGATTTTTAAGGGCAAAAATTGAGGATTCATTGAATGAAATTCTCCCTGCTTTCTCTGTCACTATAATTTCTGTGATGGAAGACAAGATATTCAAGCACGGGTTTTTCTTTCTGTCTTGTAAGTTACTGTTATCAGCTCCCCAAGTCACTCAGTAGTCTTCAAGTTAGATAGATAATCTTAAAATAGGGCAGGGCTCTGTGCTTGTACTATTGTCTTCTACCCAGTCACCTTTAGCTTTATGTCATATCAATGTTAGACATTATGTTAAAACTGGCAAGTTGAAACACAAAGACGACTTAACCAAGGTCAGATGGCAAGCAGTGAAAGAGTGTGGTTGTAAGTCTAGATCTCTTGAAGGCAGGTCTAATGCTTTTTATCCTAAAACTACAAATTAGCCTTTAAGTTCCAGTAACCTCTGGGTATCTTTAAATGAAAAATGTATGTGTAATAAATAGCATGCAATTATCCTGTGAATGTTTTCTAAGGAAAAAAGCCCCAGTAATTTCATATTGCCAAAAATCCAAAATTCTGATCTTATATTGGTGTCCAGGGTTAGGACTGATGTGTACTAGACTATTGGCACTTTCAGTGATGGACTACAGTGGCAATGTTTACTCCCATGCATAGGAGGCCCACATCGAGCAAAAGTGATTCTTCTCTTCAACATAAATGTCAAAAAAAATGTACTTTCAAAACGTAACTTAATGATGGGTCTTTAAAAGGTTTAATTGGATGGTTTGGGCTGATAGCTGTGGTGGGTTGACCCTGGCTAGATGCCAGGTGCACACCAAAACTGCTCTATCACTCCCCCTCCTCAGCTGGACAGGGGAGAGAAAATAGAACAAAAGCCTTGTGGGTCGAGATAAGGACAGGGAGAGATCACTCACAGTTACTGTCACGGGCAAAACAGACTCGACTGGGGAAATCAGTTTAATTTACTACCAATCAAATCAAAACAAGGATAATAAGAAATAAAACCAAATTTTAAAACACCTTCCCCCCACCCCCCGGTTCCTGGGCGCAGCTTCACTCCCGATTTTCTCTCCCTCCTCCCCTCAGCAGCGCAGAGGGACGGGGGTTGGGGGTTGGGGTCAGCTCCCCCCACGTTGTCTCTGCCGCTCCTTCCTCCTCAGGGGGAGGAGGACTCCTCACTTGTCCCCTGCTCCACCGTGGAGTCCCTCCCATGGGAGAGTCCTTCACAAACTTCTCCAATGTGAGTCCTTCTTATGGGCTGCAGTTCTTCATGCACTGCTCCAGCGTGGGTCCCTTCCACGGGCTGCAGTCCTCCAGGCACAGACTGCTCCCGCGTGGGTCCCCCATGGGGTCACAAGTCCTGCCAGAAAACCTGCTCCAGCGTGGGCTCCTCTCTCCACAGATCCGGAGGTCCTGCCAGGACCCTGCTCCAGTGCGGGCGTCCCACGGGGTCACAGCCTCCTTCAGGCATCCCCCTGCTCTGGCGTGGGGTCCTCCCCGGGCTGCAGGTGGAGATCTGCTCCACCGTGTACCTCCCTGGGCTGCAGGGGGACAGCCTGCCTCACCATGGGCTTCCCCATGGGCTGCAGGGGAATCTCTGCTCCGGCGCCTGGAGCACCAACTCCCCCTCCTTCTTCACTGACCTGGGGGTCTGCAGGGCTGTTTCTCTTACATATTCTCACTCCTCGCTCCAGCTACAGTTGCCGCAGCAGGTTTTTCCCCCTTTCTTAAATCTGTTCTCCCAGAGGCAATACCCCCGTTGCTGATGGGCTCGGCCTTGGCCGGCGGTGGGTCCGTCTTGGAGCCAGCTGGCATTGGCTCTGTCGGACATAGGGGAAGCTTCTAGCAGCTTCTCACAGAAGCCACCCCTGTAGCCCCCTTGCTACCAAAGCCTTGCCATGCAAACCCAATACATTCCACCTCTCACTTCTGTGAATCACATATTTAAAAATTATCATTAAAATCCACACTCATCACACAAACTTCACTCACATCAACAGAAAAAGAATTCTCCACACCAAAATCAAAATAACATCATCACAACACCGAATGAAAGTGGACAATTTACACACAGTCCACCTTTTGTCCCTTTCACAATTACAAATGAAATTCCCCACCATCATTCCACTCTTTTCTCTTTAGGTGAGTTCAGTCCATGTTTTGCCCGTTACCTCTCCCAGTTACTACCCTTATCTCGAATTCCTCATACGCCACATTGGGCAACAAAAAAGACTGTTGTGGGTTGACCTTGGCTGGACACCAGGTGCCCACCAAGCTGTTCTGTCACTCCCCTCCTCAGCAGGACGGGGGAAGGAGAAAATAAGATGGAAAAAACTTGTGGGTCAGGATAAAAGCAGTTCAATAAAGCAAAAGCAAAGGCTCTGCGTGGAAACAAAGGAAAACAAAAGATTTATTCTCTACTTCCCATCAGCAGGCAATGTCCAGCCACTTCCTGGGAAGCAGGGTTTCAGTACGTGTAGTGGTTGCCCTGGAAGACAAATGTCATAATAATAAATAACCCCCTTCCTCCTCCTTTCTCTTCACTTTCATCGCTGAGCAGATGTCATACAGTATGGAATATCCCTTTGGACAGTTTGGGCTGGCTGTCCTGGCTATGTCCCCTCCCAAGATCTTGCCCACCCCCAGCGTGCTGGTGATGGGGATGGGTGTTGGAGAGACAGCCTTGATGCTGTGCCAGCACTGCTCAGCAGTAGCCAAAACACTGGTGTGTTATCAACACCTTTCTAGCTACCAACACAGAGCACAGCACTGTGAGGGCTGCTATGGGGAGAATTAACTCCATCTCAGCCAGACCCAGTACAATAGCTGTAGTGATGGCTGAAATCCTGAGGAGATCGCTCATCTATGAAGTTTGTGTGGATTAGCAACAGGGCAGAAGCATGAAAGTGTGGGGCTTTGGGGGGAGCTTTGTGTTGTTGGGTTTTTTAATTTTTTTTGAGCATGTTACTGCCTATAGCATACTTTGTGTGTAAAAGGGCTCAGAAACACAATATGTTGCTTGTCAACTGTCATCTTTGTAGAAAAATCATGTGAAATACAAGAATCGCTTGAGAAGCTAAAAAAATAACATAGGCACAGAATGCAGCTGCATGTTGTAGTATTGATGGAAGCGTGGCCCTTTGCATTTAACACAAGCAAATGGAAGGGGGGGTGCTGTTCTTTTTCATCCCTGTTTTTTCCCTCTTATTCCACTCCTTGGGGGCAGGGAGGGGGAAGAGAAAGAAATGGATACTCTTTCCTATTTAAAAGGATACTGGGCTTCTGGCTGTAGAGAAATAAGAATTGTATCCATTCACTTGGATTATACCTATTTTTCAAATAAAGTCATGAAATCATTTCCAAAGTTATATTATCAGAAAATAGAAACCCTGAGTCTTATCCTCAGGCTTGATTTTTTTTTTTTTTTTGTAAAGGATATTTTATTATTTCGTGATGATTATTCTCCTCAATTGCCTCCATTCTGATAAATGAAATAGTGGTGAAGTAGATGTGCGTGAATTGTGAATAGTCATCGAGCGTGACTATTGAGGGAACAGTGCAGGTCGTTATGGAAGCAAATATAGTTATTTGATTGCTGGTGTTGGATCAAAATGTCTTGATTCTCTTTTATTTTTTTCCTTGAGCTGCTTATTGCTTGGTTGTATTTTGAAGTAGTTTATAATGTATGTTTATTGCTATCCAGAGCAAACTGTTAGCCCTGGTTTGAAATTCTGTTTCCATATTCACTCACAAAATACAAGGAGGGCATCTGGTGTGCAAAGTTGAAGGGTAACTCTGAACTCTGAGAATCAATGAAAAATTTGATTAAATATTGAAGAAATGAGACCTGGTGGTTTTTAAGGAAGATTAAAATATAAGTTGCAAGCCTGACTCCTTATGAAAGGACAACATGCTTGAAAGGGTGAAAGGCTCTGGTTGCACACTAATATTCATATAACACTATGTACATCAACCCTGAGATCTTTATACCTGTACAGTCTCTTTATAACTACTAGAAGAAAGAGGGTGGTACAGAGGGGGACTCTGCACGTACTGGGATTCTTCAGGAACTTAGGTCTTTCAGACCTTCTGATCGGTCTAGGTTACCTTGGGAGAAGGTATAGGAGTAGCACATAGTGTTACTAGATTGTACTGTGCGGGTTTTCTAGCTTTCTTACGCAGAGTTACAGGAGAAAATATTCTCTCTCAAGTGGAAACATAACTAAAATTAATACCTCTGATTTATCTGCATTCAAATCAGTATCCAGGATCACAAACAGTACCCTGATATAAGTAACTCATCAAGATCTCCACTCTTCCATGTTTGAGCTCGAAATGTAGCTCAAATCAAATTTCTATTTAAAGCACTTTACCTAGATGGCTATGTATCTCCTATACTTATGTAATAAACCCAGGCACTGGGCAATATGAATTACAGAAGGCCTAAAAAAAAAAAAGAAAAAACAGGACTGGTAGCACAAAGCTAAGAGAATTAAAACCAGGGATTTTCTGGTTTACGTACCCTAAATGAATATTTATTAAGGAGTAAACAAGCTGGCCTCTTTACAAGATAGACTCCCTCCCTCCCCAGTA